TTAATAATAAGAGTACTGTTGAGTGTTACCATGTGCCAAGGATAGGTGAGCTCTTTGTGTTATCTCACTGAATCTTCACAAGAGCTCAGTGAGGTGGTTACCGGTTTCACATCATTTAACAGATGAGGAAACAGGCACACAGATTCAGTAAACAGCCTGAGATCAGACAGCTAATTGTTGATGGAGTCCAGTTTAACCCGGTTGGTCACTGCCCAAAGCCGATACTGTTCTACCTTCTTGTCCACATGGTTTTAGAACCTGCTTTCACTTTCTTTTTCTGTCTTTTTTTTCTGCTTGAGGTGTAATCTATAATAATAAAAGTGTAATATGCTAATTAGATTGGACGAACTTCTGGACAAAGCCAGGGCTGTAAGGGAAGCCTGGGTCCCGGGGGTGCCAGAGGAAAGCCGGTCTGGCAGCTGGGGGAAGAAAGGCCTACTCTTTTTTTTTTTTAATTTTGTTTTATTGCTTAAAGTATTACAAAGAGTATTATATATGTCTCCTTTTTTCCCCCTTCTTGACATTGCCCCAGCTTCCCCTATACCCCAGTGTCTTATGTCCATTGGTTATGCTTATATGCATGCATACAAGTCCTTCAGTTGATCTCTTACCCCCCTACCTCCCCCACAATCCTCCCCAGCCTTCCCGCTGTAGTTTGATATTCTGTTCGATGCTGCTCTGCCTCTGTATCTATTTTTTTTCATCAGTTTATAATGGTCTTTATTATCCATAAATGAGTGAGATCATGTGGTATTTTTCTTTCATTGACTGGCTTATTTCACTTAGCATAATGCTTTCCAATTCCATCCATGCTGTTGCAAATGGTAAGAATTCTTCTATTTTACAGCAGCATAGTATTCCATTGTGTAGATGTACCACAGTTTTCTAATCCATTCATCTGCTGATGGGCACTTCGGCTGTTTCCAGATCTTCGCTATGGTAAATTGTGCTGCTATGAACATAGGGATGCATGTATCCTTTCTGATTGGTGTTTCTGGTTTCTTGGGATATATTCCTAGAAGTGGGATCACTGGGTCAAATGAGAATTCCATTTTTAACTTTTTGAGGAAACTCCATACTGTCTTCCATAGTGGCTGCACCAGTCTGCATTCCCACCAGCAGTGCACGAGTGTTCCCTTTTCTCCGCATCCTCTTCAGCACTTGTCCTTTGTTGATTTGTTGATGATAGCCATTCTGACAGGTGTGAGATGGTACCTCATTGTTGTTTTGATTTGCATCTCTCAGATGATTAGTGACTTTGAGCATGTTTTCATATGTCTCTTGGCTTTCTGAATGTCCTCTTTTGAAAGGTGTCTATTTAGGTCCTTTGCCCATTTTTTGATTGGATTGTTTATCTTCCTTTTGTTAAGTTGTATGAGTTCCCTATAAATGTTGGAGATTAAACTCTTACCGGTGATAACATTGGCAAATATGTTCTCCCATGCAGTGGGCTTTCTTGTTGTTTTGTTGATGGTTTCTTTTGCTGTGCAGAAGCTTATTTTGATGTAGTCCCACTTGTTTATTTTCTCTTTAGTTTCCAATGCCCTAGGAGCAGTATCAGTGAAGAAATTGCTTCGGCATATGTCTGAGATTTTGTTGCCTTTGGATTCCTCTAGTATTTTTATGGTTTCCCGTCTTACATTTAAGTCTTTCATCCATTTTGAGTTTATTTTTGTGGATGGTGTAAGTTGGTGGTCTAGTTTCATTTTTTTTGCATGTATCTGTCCAATTTTCCCAACACCATTTATTGAAGAGACTGTCTTGACTCCATTGTATGTTCTTGCCTCCTTTGTCAAATATTAATTGAGTATATTGGTTTGGGTCAATTTCTGGGTTCTCTATTCTATTCCATTGATCTATATATCTGTTCTTGTGCCAGTACCAGGCAATTTTGAGAACAGTGGCTTTGTAATACAGCTTGATATCTGGTATTGAGATCCCACCTACTTTGTTCTTCTTTCTCAAGATCGCTGCAGCTATTCAGGGTCTTTTTTTATTCCAGATGAATTTTTGGAGCGTTCGTTCTAGGTCTGTGAAATATGCCGTTGGTATTTTAATGGGAAGTGCGTTGAATTTATAGATTGCTTTGGGTAGTATGGACATTATAATGATGTTGATTCTACCAATCCATGAACATGGTATGTTCTTCCATCTGTTTATGTCTTCCTCTATCTTTTTTTTCAACGTCCTGTAGTTTTCTGAGTAGAGGTCTTTTGCCTCTTTATTTAAGTTTATTCCTAGGTATCTTAATTTTTTTGATGTGATGGTAAATGGGATTGCTTTTTTAGTCTCTCTTTCTATAAGTTCACTATTGGTATATAGAAATGCCATAGATTTCTTGGCGTTAATTTTGTATCCTGCTACATTGCTGAATTCTTTTATCAAGTCTAATAGTTTTTTGATAGAGTGTTTAGGGTTTTTTATGTACAATATCATGTCATCTGCGAATAAGGACAGTTTTACTTCTTCTTTTCCAATTTGGATGCCTTTTATTTCTTCTTCTTGTCTAATTGCAATGGCTAATACTTCCAGTATTATGTCAAACAGGAGTGGTGAGAGTGGGCATCCCTGTCTTGTTCCTGTTCTTAAGGGAAATGGTTTTAGTTTTTGCCCATTGAGTATGATGTTGGGTTTGTCATATATGGCTTTTATTATGTTGAGGTATGATCCTTCTATTCCCACCCTGCTGAGAGTTTTTATCAAAAATGGGTGTTGGATTTTGTCAAATGCTTTTTCTGCATCAATTGATATGACTGTGGTTTTTCTCTCTCAATTTGTTTATGTGATGTATCACGTTTATTGATTTGCGGATATTGTACCATCCTTGCATCCCTGGGATAAATCCTACTTGGTCATGGTGTATGAACTCTCTGATGTACTGCTGGATCCGATTTGCTAGGATTTTGTTGAGGATTTTGGCATCTATGTTCATGAGGGATATTGGCCTGTAATTCTCTTTCATTGTGTTGTCTTTATCTGGTTTTGGTATGAGTTTGATGCTGGCTTCATAGAATGAGCTTGGAAGTGTTCCTTCCTCTTGAATTTTTTTGTAGTAGTCTGAGGAGGATAGGTTTTAGTTCTTTTTTGAATGTTTGGTAAAACTCCCTTGTGAAGCCGTCTGGCCCTGGGCTTTTGTTTGCTGGAAGCTTTTTGATGACTGCTTCATTTCTTCCATAGTTATTGGAGGAAGGCTTACTCTTGCACGCATTTTGTGCACTGGGCCTCTAGTTGACACATAAAATTCTAAGCTATTTAAAGTATATATAACATGATGATTTGATACATGTGTCCACTGTGAAAGGATTCCCTCCGTAGAATTAACACACCCACCACCTCACATATTTACTTTTTTTGGTGACAACTCAGGTTCTACTCTCTTAGCAAATTTCAGTTAAACAGTATTAACCTCAGACCTCATTCACCTTTAGGTAAGTTTACTCTTTTCTAACATCTCCCTATCTCCCCCGGTGCTGACAATCACCATTCTACTGTTTCTAAGTTTGACTTTATTAAAAATTCAACATATAACTGATAACGTGTGGTAGTCTTGTCTGGCTTATATCACTTAGCATAATGCCCTCCAACTTTTTCCATATGTTCCCAAATGGCAGGATTTCCTTCTTTTAAAGACTGAATAATATTCTTGAGTGTGTCTGTGTGTGTGTGTGTGTGTGTGTGTGTGTGTGTGTGAGTGTGTGTTTGACATTTTCTTTATCCATTCATCTGTTGAGGGGCACTTAGGTTGTTTCCAAACCTTGGCTATTAGGAATAATGCTGCAATGAACGTGGGAGTGCAGATATTTCTTTGAAATTATGATTTTGTTTCCTTGGATATGTACCCAGAAGCGGGAATCCTGGATCATAAGGGTAGTTCTAGTTTTCACTTCCTGATAAACCTCCATAGTGTTTTCCATAGTGGCTGCAGCAATTTACATTCCCATCAGCAGTGTATAAGGTTTTCCTGCTCTTCACATTAAGCTATCACAAGTCCTACCCCACTCCTCCACCCCCCATATTTCTGCAGTCTTCAGTTCTTTTTTTGGCAACATTGAATGATACACCACCATTTATTAGACTACTTCTGCAATGTTGCATGGTTATTTTTACCACATTTTAACTCCGATAACTAATACTGCATTAAGAATCTTCAAATATAGAACTGTTTCTTCTTTTGAATCATTTCCTTGAAATAATCTCAAGAATGGAATTACTAGATCATAGGGTGGGAATGCATTATAAGCCTATATTTCATTTCTGTAATTAGCTTTCTTGTTTGCCTAAAAATAAAATCTCTTCCCTCAGTCAAGAGTTTTATTTTTATCAAGCATTTCAGGTGTAATATTTTGGGGGGGGGATGTTTTCTATATGACAAAATTAAAGGAAGGAAATACACTGTTCCCCTTTCCATAATACAACGCATCAGAACTCAAGTGAGGTCCATGTGCCAAGACCTCTGCCCTTCTGGTTTTCTTTCTGATATTGCATGAAGTGAACCGTATCCTACTTCTGCATAAAAGACCGTTGATGAGAAAGACAAAGCTTTTGTTCTTTGGGTGAGTGGTTCATTGGTTGATTGCCTAGTGTTTTCCACTTGGGAGCAAATTCCTTCTGTGATTTCCAGAGCTTGAAGAGACATTAGTTTGCTTTTCAATTTACATGGCCATTCTACTGAATCCAGCGCATAGCACTCTGCTGTTGGAATAGCCCCAATACATAACTTCACATTTGGAATGTAAAGTGCAACCATTCTTAATAGTTTAGTTTATTGGCCACTCTTTTCTTTTCCCTAAGTTTTCTTGTATATTAGTATTTTTTAAAGAAGACTGCCATTTTCGTGCCACCCCATTCATATCCTCTGCAGTGAAAAGCCCTTTAAAAACAATCACAGTCCCTTGGAAAGCAAGTCACTCAGGATGAGGAAACATTGATCTCTGGGGGCGTGTGTGTGTGTGTGTGGGGGGGGGTGGGCAGAGGAGGAGCCAGTGAGCCCTTGTCTATCATGTTCCTTTTTCTTTTAACCCTCTAGGAAAAGTAAGCATGATGTATAGGAAAATGCATGAGCAGGGGGCCAGGGCCTCAGGGACAGGGCTGGGTAGAGCAGCGGGATTAGGCAATTGAGGGATGGCCGTTTTTAAGGTCCATGGCAGACCGTCACCACCTGTATATTTGTTTTCCTTGAAAGACTAGATTTTTAATTAAAGAAAAACTTGTGTTTTTTTAAAAAAAAACCTTATGAAGTTTTAGGTCACTTCCAATTTCTTTCCTTCCTTATACCCTTTCAGCGAACCCAGGACTCTTGGCCTTGCTGACTCTCCCCTTCAGTGCTGTGTTCTGAGATCAGCAGAGGAAGAATATCTGCTCTCAGCAACTGGGGGGCCACATCCCTGATTCCGTTACCAGGGAAACCAGTTTCAGATGGGTGCAAAGCAGGTAAAAGGTTCACACATTTTATTTGAAATAATGAAATAAGAACGCAACCCATAACTCCCTTCTCCCCCCACCTATCTAATGTCAATTTCCATGGAAACAGGATCAGAAAGGCCGCTGACAGCCAGCAACTGACAGTAAACTCAACCTTCTCTCTAGGTGGCAGGCATCCTTTTGATATCTGCAAATGCCAATTTGTACAATCCTGTGACATATCGTCGGGCTGGAAAGACTCTTATTTGAAGAGTGAATAAAATGGAATCTACCCAGCCGAGATGTGTGTCCTTCTATGTTTTATTAAACAATCATTCAGGAATGTGGTCCATTCTGTTATTATTGCTTTCCATGACACACACTTTGTCAATACACAAACCTCCGTGTCAGTCATGATTGTTTTTCTAATATTGGGGCTAATACTTAACAGCGTGATAACCATCTCTTCTGGGCTGTAATTTATTATATTTCGACAGAATATGCAGACTTTCCATACCTTCAATAGAGAGTGTAAATGTTAGTGTTGTTTTTAATCTCTGCATCAGTGTCTAACTAGGTGTCACGTTGTCTACTAATTTATATTCATCTTAGATGTTTTGCCTTTTAGAAGATATAGACTCTCAGGATGAAATATTTAGAAATCTTAACATTCACATCTAAATAATGGAAAAGTTCTAGGTCAGTGGTTCTCAACCTTCCTAATACCGTGACCCTTTAATACAGTTCATCATGTTGTAGTGACCCCCAATTTCATTGTTACAAATTGAACATAAATAAAGCATAGTGATTAATCACAAAAACAATATGTAATTATATATTTGTTTTCTGATGGTCTTAGGCGACCCCTGTGAAAGGGTCGTTCGACCCCCAAAGGGGTCGTGACCCACAGGTTGAGAACCGCTGTTCTAGGTAGTCCCCAGCATCTGCAGAGCCAATCCCCCACAGGTAAGCGAGATACTGTTTAAAAAATGCCTCGTCATGACCATAATTCAATTGAACATTTCAACACTGGGTTAGTGGAAGGGACTATAGGAAGGAGCAGAGTGCTTTAAAGGGATGTCAATCTTACCGTTGTTGTATAGAGATGCTAGCTCACTCGTTCTATGAATTTTTGTCTTTCTAGTAGGCTTTTGTTAAAATTAAAATATAATTCTACATGCCATCTATTCTGAGCTCCTCTGTTAATATTAGGTTTAAATTATTTATATTAAGTACATGAGAGACTTACTGTTTAAGTTTTGAACCTCAATTGATTATTATTTGCACATAATAAATATCAATTGCTACCTATTAATGGTGGTATAAAATATATAAACTCTTAAATTTTTTAGCCAAACCTACCTCTCTGATAAAACACACCTTGTAGAGTAATTCCTATGTAAGAGTAACTCAGACCCAAGTCCACACTGGGTCTTGTCAGTCATGTACATCTTAGCATCCACAGCTGAGGATGCCTTCCCATTAGCCACAACTGGACAGTATTTTCTAAGGGCGATGTGAGGAAGAGTTGGTTGGCTGAATGACTCAATAAGAAAAATGCTGAAATGGATTTCAGTACTGGCCTTTATCCCCACTCATGGAGGCAGAGAAACAGTAAGATAAATCTCAGATAATATTATCATAAGTGAAAAAGACATTAAACCTACCACTTTCTCTTCTCTCCTCAAATTGACTGTGAAATGGGTGAGGCGACATCCCACCTGGGCTTCTGTACAATCATACACATACGACTTCTTTGAGCTAAGTTGGAAGATACAGAAATGTGCATAAATAAGATTTTAATTTGTTATTATTTTATTAATAGCCAGAGTTTTGTTCTCTCTTATTGGTGTATTACATTAACATTACTGTGTTGATTGTTTTGTTAATAGCCAGAAGTTTGTTCTTGATGTTTTGGTTATGTTGCATAATTTGCCTAGAGCTTTTGATTATGTAAATGGAAGTGTTTAAAACAGAAAAAAGTGTGGGGGTGGGATGTGGAGAGCGGCTACAGTGTTTGGACAGGTTCAAGCCTCGGACTAATGAGAGGGCATGGTCCTCTCTTGGCAAAGACATGTGCAAGCCCCTGCTTGGAGGGCAAAGCCTTCCCAGCACAATTATAGCCAAAGGCGATAGTTGTAAGCTTGAACCTGTGGTCCAAACCTGTGGTCCCACGTGGCTGAGTGATATAGGCTGCAGAAGGTGCAGCAAGTAAACAAAGCTTGATCAGGTGCATGTAATTGAGTAGATTCGAAAACTCACGAGAACATTGCAACCGCGCCCTTATTTTGCCTCGTGGAATCTGGCTATAATATAAAGACTCAGCTTTCAGGCTGTGGTGCTGCCTCTACATCAGAGAGGGCAGCTTCCCACCGAGACCCAGCTTTCTTCTCTTGTTTGTCTTTCCTAAATCCTTCACTGCCCCTTCTCAGGTTCACCCATGGCCGTGCTGGTGTGAGATATATATATATATATATATATATATATATATATATATATATATATATAGAGAGAGAGAGAGAGAGAGAGAGAGAGAGAGAGAGAGAGAGTGTAATACTATGTAATACATTCAGAGGTTGGCAAAAGTAGGTTTACAATTGTTCATATGGAAAATAATACAATAATTAATAAATAATAATACAAGAATAAACTGTGTTTCAGGTACTCACAATTATAAGTATACTTTTGCCCACCCTGTGTGTGTGTATACACACACATATATATATTGCATTATCTATCTGTCTATCTGTCTATATCTAAGCCAGGGGTCCTCAAACTACGGCCCGTGGGCCACATGCAAATACAAATATTGTATTTGTTCCTGTTTTGTTTTTTTACTTCAAAATAAGATATGTGGAGTGTGCATAGGAATTTGTTCATAGTTTTTTTTAAAACTATAGTCCGGCCCTCCAACGGTCTGAGGGACAGTGAACTGGCCCCCTGTTTAAAAAGTTTGAGGACCACTGACTAAGCTATTGGGTTTTTTTCCCCAGAGAGCCCATATTAATACAATGGATAAATAAGCTGTGATACATCAAGACAAAGAAGTATTATTCAGCACTAAAAAGAAATGAGCTATCAAACCATGAAAAGAATGGATGAACTTTAAATGTATTATTACTAAGTAAAAGAAGCCAATCTGAAAAGGCTACATACTGTATGATTTCAACCATATAGCATATGAACCAAGTAGGGGTTATATTGTTAAATCTGCTTTTAAATATCAGTAAGCCTTATTTTATTATTTTAGGTTGTAAAAAATGTAAATATACATACATAAATATGAATTAAAATATTACTGTTTTCTCCCATGCCTCAGTGGAGTGTCTTTCACACATGGTCACATGGCCCATTCAGTTCACAAGGTGCCTCAGGGGATGGTAGGGGCAGTGGAGGGAGTTGACAGTGGTGTCCTAATAGCAAATTGTGATGTGTTGCAGATTCCGTGTACAGGTGAAGTGGATTTCTGTACTAAGAATTTCCAGCAGTGGGGTTGGAGGTTGAAAATAATACAAGCATAAGAAACCCAAAAATGTCAGCACTGGTACTTCTACTTGGTGTATTGGGAACTCTTCATCAAATTATTAGATTAAAAAAAGATGTTTTTTTTAGATCTAACAAGAAGTTTGTCCCAAAGAAAAATTCAAAATGATCAAGAAGACTGTTTGACAAAAGTGGGTAAGGATGCACTTCAGCCTAATGTGTTGTTGGATTCTTTTGTTAAATGAGTAGAGGCAGGTGAGGGTCTTTGTCACCTCCCCCACCACCTCACTACCAGATAGGAGAGTAGAGCGTTATTATAATGGCCCCTGTGGATTATCCCTCCCTGTGCACCTCTTTGCAATGTGAGGTTACTGCTAGTCCCGTTAAAAGTCAGGGTGTGATTTTCTGTCCTCTTGACTGTGAGCTGGCCTTGTGACTCCCTTTGACCAACAGCACATGGAGGAAGTGACTTCAGCTAGTTTCTCTAGAGGTCCTTTAGCTTCCACTCTCACACTCTCATGTGTGAAGAAGTCTGGCCTAGTCTCCTGGAGTTGAGTGCTCATGTGAAGGATAACGGGGCACTGACAACCAGTAGCAACAGCCAGACATAACTGAAGACAGCCCCAGTCAAACCCTCAGAAGACTGTACCTATACAAGGACAGCAGGACAATGACCAGACTTCTAACAAACGGAATTGTGAAAATTAATAAATCATTGCTTCAAGCCACTAAGTCGGGGGGGGGGGGGCTGGTCACACAGCAACAGGTAACTGACATAGGTGATTGTTAAAAATGATTGCTGGTCTCAGAATGTACCAACTTGTATAAGAAAACATTGTCCAACCCATCCTCTTGGTGTGGGGTGGCCCTGTCCTCCATCCTCAGGAGCATTCTGAACAGCACCCTGCATGGGAGGCTCAGCGAGTTTTCTAAGTTGGATCAGGCAGCAGGTTCATTCAGGACCACATGAACTTCTGGGATGGCTCTGAAGTTGCTGGGCTGAGGGCTCGCAGGGCGTACTACATTGTTCCTGCAGGACGATGCATCATCATTCTAGCTATCCATGTAGCTTGAGAACACTTATTTTTCCAATGAAAAACATAAACCTAACATTTGTAAGCTAATTAAGGAACCCTCGATGCTAATTTAGATAATGATATTTGAAGCATTTGTAGAATCTGGAGTATGAACTCGGGACTAGGGTCCTTTACTTCCCAATTCACTGCCCCTAGAGTAGGGATCCCTGACTAGACAGGTGCTCACAAGTACCAGGGAGATGGATGTAACCTACACATCCTGTGGATCCATGATTTTATTGACATCTCTTTCCTTTCTCCAGGCAGAAACCTCATACCTACATACAGTCCCTCCTTACCCAAAGTTTCACTTCCCACAGTTTCAGTTACCCTCAGTCAACCACGGTTTGAAAATATTAAATGCAAAATTCCAGAAATAAGCAACTCATAAGTTTTAAATTGCATGCCATTCTGAGTAGCATGGTGAAATTTTGTGCTATTTCACTCCCTCAGGCCTGAGACGTGAATCATCCTTGTCCAGCGTATCCACACTCCCTGCCCTTTAGTCACTTAAGGGCCATATGAGTTATCAGATCAACTGTCTGTATCACAGTGCTTGTGTCCAAGTAACCCTCATTTTACTTAATAATGGCCACAAGTGCAATGGATATGCCAAAGAGAAGCCGTAAAGTGCTTCCTTTAAGTGAAGAGGTGAAAGTTCTTGACATAAAGAAAGAAAAAAATTGTAAGTTGAGGATGCTAAGATATATGGTAAGAATGAATCTTCTATCTGTAAAATTGTGAAGAAGGAAAAACACATGTGTTCTAATTTTGATCCTCCTTC